ACGTCCGCGGTCGAATGCGATTGGCTATCGATGTCAGTGCAAAGGTCATATGAATATTAAAATTAAGTGGGCGGAAGGAAAATTGTATAGGAGACAAGCTGGAGTCTCGTGTGGCGATAGCGATAACACCGGGACGAATGGTCTGGGGTAGAGAATCTGTTATGTTGACATACTCTTCCTCAACTGTAAGCAAGTTAATGTGTGCACAACATTTTACTTATTGTTTTGGCTCTCAAAATGAATATCATCATTGGTCGCCTTGCTCCATTCATGGAACTATAAACCCTTATAGTTCCATGCTCCATTGAATTAAATTACTGATCCTTGTAATGTTATGATAGATTAAATTGAAATAGACTGAATATGCAAAAAAATGGATTTTTCCTTCACCAACCAGTGAATTTTAAACCTAGTGCAACATCAAATCCACTAAAATAACTGCCAGTGAATATTCCCCAATACAATAGTTGCGTTCACGCACAGCTCCTTAGCACGGGCTAAGAGGTCAAATTCCTTAGCCCGTGCTAAGCAAACGTGCGTGAACGCTTAGCACGGGCTAAGGAATGCTAAGTACGGGTTAAATCTGATCCGAATTTAAGACGCGGTCTAGACCCTTAGCACGGGCTAACGAGGTGTGTGCGAACGCTCGCTAAGCGCCCTCTGCAGCGACCTTTGGGTGTGAACATTATGCACGTGATCAAATACATCTAACTTTCTCATTCCCAGAATGGCAACCGAGCTCAGTGTACACTCTTCCACACCGATCGGATCACTGTAGTAGAGCGTACAGCAGCTCCAATCGTAGACAAAATAAATTTGGTTCGCTGTCTACGACATGCATTAATAAAACTCTGTATTTTGTCATTGTATACTGCTTTTGTGCAACCAAATAAGTTGGGTTCGTCTTCTCTCGCGTTCCTGTGCACGTCGCTTCAAAATTAGAACGAAAAATGTCAGCAGCAGAAATAGAACCTCGCGCGTGTCATCCATATTTCGTTCGTAAATAGCGGCTTGCCAAATGTCACTGACTGATGGCGCCCCTTAGCCCGTGCTAACGACTGGCCCTCTCTGTTCGTGGACGCAATTTGGTCTAGCCGATATGCGAATATGCTAGATAAGCCTAAATCAGCTTAAATCTTAGCCCATACTTCGTGTAACGTGAACACAACAAATATTAACTAAAATAGTTGTATGATTTTTCAATATTTGCCTGTACTCCACAAGTTATGTGCAACCAGAGTGGCTAATTTACATGTTCTGTTTCAGAAATTATTGTTATAGTGTATACATGTATAAAATTTTCTAAAATATGCAAGCATGATGAAAACCAAATATTAAAGCGAGGGAGTCGTCACCTGTGCATGCGTCAGATGGCCATAGCGTGTCATTGTTTACAAACAAGTGCTACCGATGAGCCTTTGCGTTTTTAGCGTGTGTTATCTTCGCTTGGGACTTAATTCCCGCGCGTGCGCAGGTGACAACTCTTCCACTTTAAATGAGTTTAGAGCGTATGGTGGAGAATAGACCTTAGCCAAAGCGCGAGTGCCATACAACTAGTATTCGCCCTGTAAATGTTCATTTCCTCTCATAATCAACTAGAGAAAATGTAACGCCATTTTATGGGCAAAAAACTGTGCTATAGTTTTCTCCAGTCAAGGAGACTTTGCCAAGCATTAGTAAGCATTTGCTTCTAAGGTCTCGTAGCTCTATTATTGTATGATTCTCATTGAATAATTTCTCATTTCTTTCAAGGCTAACATGTCTGCATTTGCAAAATTATCAAGTGGAAAGAAAATGGTATGTATTGTTTTCTTGTGATGTTATATTCCAATAATATACGGTACCAGTATAGTTTACTAGGATGGTCAGGTCCACGGTGTTGTAAATTATTTTGGATTTTTATGTTGTATTGCATTTCCTGTGTAACTATCAGGGTTCTCCCCAGGGCTTTTTAGCGCCGAGGTCCGCGGCGCTATACCTGTGAATCTCGGCGCTTCACTTGGGACCTCGGCGCTATGTGTTCCCACCTCGGCGCTTGATTTCATATTTGACATGCCAATATCAGATGTGAAAAAGCTTTGTTCGCCACGCCGGTCGGCCCCGACTGTCACCCAAAATTAGTGACCACCACGGGAA